CTAAATTTAATTCTCTTTTTATTTTTATTTATTTTTATTATTAGTATTGTTTTTTGGTATTTTATTTTTATTTCAAATTTGGTAAGGAATTCGGATGTAATGCTCAGGCAAATCTTGTTTAATTTATTTTTTTCCATAACATATCGTTTTTCATATTTTTTTGATGACTTTTTTTTTTTTTTTTTTTTTCGCGTTCGGCCTGAACGCCCGAATGCATCCCGAAGGGGTCCCATACGTTTGGGCGTTCGGGTTTGGGCATTCGGCCCGTCCCGAACGCCGGTTACCCTGTATATATATATACATATATATATATACATATATATATATATATACATATATACATATATATATATATATATTCACATTGTAAATTAGAGCGGGAAGGAGAAAAAAAGTAAGGAATGACAACCCCACATGTTCATGACGTCTTACATACAAGGCCAGCCACGTGGATGACAGGTTGACCGCTTGGGTGCCCCTATCCCCATGTGTCACAAAGACCCACTTGCACGCAGCCAAAAGACAAAGTGGTAAAGAAAAGGAGGACGAAACCATACCTCATAGAGGCAAAAGAACGAGAAAGGTGAAATACAAGACAAAGGAAGAAAGCAAATGACACATCTCACAGATAAACCAAATTTCACTGTCACAACAAAGTTCAACATTTTTTTTATTTTTTTTTTTCTGTTTTTTTTTTCCTCTTTAAATTTACACTATTTTTTTTTCTTCTTTCTTTTATCTTTCCTACATTCACTGTTGCTCCTGATCGCCTCATTATATTCACCAGTCAGAAATAGGAGCCCCCACCCCCGCAGATAGGACAGACACGCTGAGGATGACGTGGATGTTCATAAGGATACCCAAGAGGAGCTACTTCAGAAGAGCATTGAGAATGACGACTAGCACGAACCAGCCCATCAAAACAGTCTGTGAAACAGATGTTAGTGCGTGACTCGAATGTTGAGTCCAGATAAAAAGAAAACGAAAAAGAAAATTAATCATAATAAATAAAATATATCATGAATCACAAGGCAATACCAACGATGAAAAAAAAAACACTCTCACCCCAAAAAAAAAAAAAAAACAATTCCGAAATATATATTTATACGCAGCAGATGACCTAGGTTTTTCATGAAGATGTTGGCATTCCTATTCGGATTACAGAAATGAACGGTGTTATTGTTTGTTTTCTTCAGTTTTTCTTTCGGTTGTTCGTTCTTATTGACGTTGTACGTAAGAGATGGTGAACAGCTAGGGTTTTCCTTCCTTATTGTATTTCCTTTACTTGTTTTGCTATGTTCGCCTTCGCGCTCTGATTCACAGTGTGACAGACCACGAAGGCCGAAAAAAAAAAGAAGGAAAGGAAAAAAGGTAAGGAAGGAAAGATCCACGTGTTCATCTCCTCTTACGTACAATGCCATTATGAGTGCAAAAAAAATAAAACAAAAACAAAAAGAAAATAAAGAATCACGCCTTACCTATGTTGTAATCTTCTTCCTTACATACCATGCCTCCAACGTGGATATAGGTTGACCGGTGGCTGCCCCCACCCCCGCGTGTCATATTCACCCACTTCAATAAAGGAAAACAAGAAAAGCAAAGCGCAAAAGCGAAATAATACAAACAATCTCGTCGGCGAAAAAAAAAAATAAAAAAAATCAATAGGGAAAAATGCGTCAAACGGATATTAGTACGAATGGGAAAAAAAAAAACAGAAATCAAATAAAAATAACCACGAACCACGGTAGAATGGGACAAGACCAACCACGACAACAAAATGACTCTCGTCCGTAAAAACAGAATAAATCCGAAATACAATTTCTACTAACACAAAATGACCTTGTCTGACATCAACATGTTGACATTCATATTCGTAATCCATTCCAGCTGATATTCCAGCAGATGTGGTAGCAAAATCGGCACAAAACTTGACGCAACATCCCCTAAAACCTAACATCATACAGAACACACACTCACACACGTCACAAAGACCCTATGTGCAAGCTCCATAACAACTATGGTTGCCTTCTCTGCCCCGATTAAACTAGAGGCTATGGTATTGACACCTTATTTACCCACCCCGCGAGCATGACCATTTTATTTTTCTTTACAACCCTGTCCGTCTTCCTTTCGTAAAAAATAAAAATTAAAAATTAAAAAAAATTGCAAAAAAAACGATCGTCTATAAAACATTATCCCCAACACCACCATCCCCCTCCTCTATCATCGCCGCCATCGTCACACCCTCCCCCTTCGTCGTCAGTCGGTGGCGGTGAGTAAAGATAACCGTTGGTGGGAGGAGGGAATGTATGAGGATCTACGTGCGAGTATGTCTCAACTATGGCCACCCACCCGAACGGACCTCGTGTCGGATCGCCCCCCCAACCACCATTTCGTTGGGGGAGGGCTTGCGGAAGGTGCCCCCATCCGTCGAGATCATGTCCGTAGCTCTCCGTCGTCGTTTGCCCCCCTTCGCCAAGTGGCGGTATTGAAGAGGATGATGGAGGTGGTGGAGAAAGAGGAGTCAGGATCGCGAGCGGAGTCGCAGATTCCCCCCCCTCCCCAACTGTTATTGTTGAAGACGTTGACGGCAAAGTCGTCGTCGTTTGTGCGGCCGTTGTTCGTCCCCCATGCTCTCTCTCTCTATCTCTCTCTCTATCTCTCTCTAACTCTCTGAGACAACGAAGAAGAAGAAGAAAAAAAAGAAAAAGAAGAAGAACAACAACAACAAGAAGATGAAGAAGAGCGAGTGACACTGCGACATGGCCGCTACGAAACGAGGAAGACGAAAAAGAAGCGAAGAAGAAGAAGAAATGAAGTACAGGAATGAACGTACAAGAATTGACAAAGGAATGAAGAAGGAAAAAGGGAAGAAGAAGCTGCGACGGAGAGGAAAAAGAAGAAGACAAATGGGTGAAAAGAAGATCTCTCTCTCCCAACCACCTCTCTCTCTCTCCCAACCACCTCTCTCTCTCTCCCAACCACCTCTCTCTCTCTCTCTGTCTCTCCCTCTGCGAATTCGAGGGAGTAAAACGAGCGTTTGAGATGGCAGCGGCGAGTATGGAGTACGGAATGCACTGCAACACACTGTATATAAACGTTAGAGAGAGAGAGAGAGAGAGAGAGAGAGAGAGAGAGAGGGGGG